TGCCCACTACTCCGGAGCTAAGAAATTATGGCTCGATGTGACGCGACGAGCAGTGTTCTGTGCGAAGCGCTCCCTACCGGCTCCCGGAGGTGGCACAGAATCGGCAATGGGTTCATCGTAATCTCAATAGAGTGCGCCTAAGCCTGACAAAACGCCCGAAACTCTAACGTTAACTACTTCGCGGGAATTCGATCGCAAAGTTGAAAGTGTCGACTACTGGTGTACTGTCGACTACTGGGCCCCTTACCCTATGAGCTGCTGGCCCAGTAAGGTCTTTGAACTCTTTTGTTTTGTTGTTGATGTGAAGAATAGAATGGTAAGTATTTGCATTAATATTTTTTGCACTTACACCTGTTGGTGTCATTACCAGATAAGAATCAGCTCCAAATTGTTTGTGCACTGTGTGCTTTATAGCACTAATTAGTAGACTCTTTCCAGTTCCTGTACCACAAAAAAAAAGAAGTAAGGTTTCAATTGATTTAGTAACAATTTGATGTCCTTTACCATTAGTATAAAGTTGTACTAGTTCTGCCATAAACATACCTGCTTTTCCTTGAATTATGACTCGCCTTGGAACAGCAAAGTCAGGTAAAGACTTATCGTTGTTTAAGCAAGAATCAATTTGTTCATCAACTAATTGAAGAATATCTAATTGACTTTTATTAAAATTGACATTAGGGTAAGGAGGTAGGATTTGTTCTGTATTATGTGCTTTTTCTTTTTCTGTTGCCAGGAAAGTTGCCATTGCTGGTATTCCCCCATACTTTTCATACCTCTCCCGTGACTCTTGCCAATTGTTATTCAAGTCACAATCCCGTTTACCTACTTCTACCTCTTGTACAGTTTGATTTGGACCCATGCTTGATATTGTCATCCATTCTTCTAAGTCATCACACAAGTCATCTTCATTTTCTTCTTTTTCAAAATCATCATGTGGCTGTAAGTTGCTTAATGAATTTCTTTCAAAGTTATTTTGGGTTATAATTGTTTTGTTCAATTCATACAATTCTGCCCAAGTTAAATTTGTGTTTTCAAATTCATGCAAATGTCACCATGGGACATATAGTAATACTTGTTGCTTGTAGTAGTTTTCATTATTTCCTTGATTCTGTTCATTAAATTTACACTTTGGATATACAGTTATTATGGCTTCTTTCACTTTACCTTCTATGTCTTTTAATTGTCTTGGGCATTGTTTATTATACCAGAAATCATGATATTTTGCCATTTTCCATAAACCTTTAGTTTCATAACTCTCAGGGCGTTGTTGATACTTTTGAATCATGGTTTTTGGTTGTTTTCAGTTTGAGGTATGAAGATCCAGTCACCCGGAGTCAAATGCTTAAAATTTATGAAATAAAAATTTCTTCTGCCTGCAGATACAAATTTTGAACCCATAACATAGTGACACACTTCTTGTGCACTGTAATCTCTTTCAGAACAACACTGTATATATAAGCGTTGTATGGACTTTTTAATATCTTGATCATCTTGTGCACTATTCAGAATATCCTTCAACAAATCTATTAACTTGTTTGATTCTCTTTCAGGTTTGGATATATATTTTGCAAGATAATTTATTAGAGCTTGCTTTGACATGACTGGAGAGATGTCTATGTTAGCTCTCCAGGTTTGAATAATATAATCATTGAAATTGTTCAGAAGTGGATCATTTCTTTTCGATGTGAATTCAATATCATGTGTTTCAGGATCAATTTTATAACTTGATGTATCCTGTAAATATTTTGGGAATCCAAACCGACACTCTCTCTTCTTAGTCTTTTTATTTTTCCTGAGACAGTAACTTTCTTTGTGTATTGTATGTCTTTGTACTCTATTTAAAAGTTGTGCTAAGTCTTTCTCTTTATCTTCTACTTCAGACATCTTCACTTGACATGGATGGGTTGGTGGTTTTCTCTCATTTATATTCGGATGGAATGTAGATTTAAGTTCATCATAGAAGTTAACTATTTTTTGCCTTTTGTCTTCAGTGTCTATATCCAACACATTTGGTGCGTTTTCGATCCTTGAAAGCCCGTGAATGTGAGGGCTACCCCTAGGGAAATAAGAAATAGTATTTTCATACAAAAGAACTCGATGCGCCCTAACGAAAGAGTCTGATCTGCTTCGCTGCCAAACCAAAAGAGTCCGATCTGCTTTGCAGAGAAACCAAAAGAGTTCAATCTGCTTTACTGCCAAACCAAAAGAGTTCGATCTGCTTTTCGGCGATGGAACGTCAGGCATCTTATGAGCGCTATAACTCCTCGGATATTTTGAATATACACAAAATAAAAATACTTGCTTGCTACCCCAACCTTTACGAATGTGTACACCCTAAAATATATACACTTTTCCTTTTAAGCTTCGAGATATCATAGAGTTTATGCGGAGCGGTCGACGAGCGCCGAAAGCAGATCGGACTCTTTTGGTTTGGCAGCGAAGCAGATCGAAGTCTTTTGGTTTGGCAGCGAAGCAGATCGGACTCTTTTGGTTCAGCAGCAAAGCAGATCGGCCTCTTTCGTTAGAGCGCATCGAACTCGTAAAGTAATGTAACAATAAAGCACATTGAATACTGAAAATATGGAGCCTTGCACTATCGGGGCACTTTGGTCAAACTGCAAATCAGAGATGCAGTTATTTTCATTATTGTTGTTTCCATTTTCTTAAAAGGTTCATTTGAACATGCTTTCTTAAAACTTGTCCAATTTTGAAAATGATGTAAACTCGCTCAAAACAGACAATTCGCTTCCAAGTCACATTGTAAAATGCTTCAGAGGCATGTTGTGCAGTTTACTGTTTAAATACTATGATATTCCATATTAA